TTCAGCCTCCCCAGTAGCTGGGACTACAGGTGCCTGCTACTACACCTGGCTAATTTTTTTTTTTTTTTGTATTTTTGTATTTTTAGTAGAAATGGAGTTTCACTGTGTTAGCCAAGATGGTCTTGATCTCTTGACCTCGTGATCTGCCCTCCTCAGCCTCCCAGAATGCTGGGATTTCAGGCGTGAGCCACCACACTGGCATCTTTTTTTTTTTTTTTAAGAGATGAGTCTCACTCTATCAGCCAGGCTGGACTGCAGTGGCGTGATCTCAGCTCACTGCAGCGTCAACCTCCATGGCTCAAGCATTCCTCCCACCTCAGCACCCTGAGGAGCTGGGATTACAGGCACACGCCACCAAGCCCAGATAGTTTTTGTATTTTTTGTAGAGGTGGGGTTTCTCCATGTTGCCCAGGCTGTTCTTGAACTCCTGAGCTCAGGCAATCCCCCTGTCTTGGCCTCCCAAAGTGCTGGGGTGACAGGCATGAGCCACCATACCTGGCAAGAAATCTTTATTAATTAGTAACTTAATTAAAGGACTTGGAAGAACTGCAAAGATGTTGCGTGAGAAATTTAGGACACAGTCCCAAGACCCACAAGGATATATGAACCAAAGAAGCAAAGGCACAATTATGGAAAATTCCCAGTTGAGGAAGGCTATGTGGATGTGATAGGGTTTAGAGGAGGGACTGCAGCAGCCTCAGTTACCATGGTAGGTGCTGTCAGTTGCCTGCTCATATCTGTTTGACCACGTCAGAGCCCTTAGGCCTCTCTCCCAGCTGCCTACACTTAAGTTTCCTGGCCTGAGGGCATTTTCTGGTCACTAAGGCATTTTGCCTGCTGGAGAAGCAAGATGGAAATATCGAGGAGTTAAGAGCCCTCAGGAGCAGCCCTCAGCCATGACTAATGAGGCTTGGTGGATTAATACCCCAGCTCCCTCCTCCTGAGCTGGGCTGACTCTGTGATGTCTGCTCTCTGCTGCCCCCAAGAGGTCCCCCATGGGACTGCGTCTCAGTTGTCCACAGTGAGAACTTGTTCCTTCCCCATTTTACTCCCCTACTGCCCTATTGGGGTTTTCTGGGATTACCTCCTAGATAAATGACTTACACTCAGATCCTTATCTCAGGGTGTCCTTCTGGGGAA